AATGAGACTTTTTTGAGTTTAACGCATTATTCAATATTTATCGTTATCAGTAATGTCTCCATTCTATATTTTCGGTGAGTTGCTCCGTAATTTCTTCCCCCCTCCATTTCCTTCCATTCATCGATGTTCACATCTTTGAAGGTGTTCCATTCTCGCACTCGGATTTTAAAGCCATTCTGTTCTACCAGGACAGGATAAATCTCATCTTATTAGCGAATGAATATTTGATAATAATCGAATCGTCATCTCTCCATATATCTTTCAAAAGCAAATCGCACATCACTTCTTCATTCCAGTATCTGCCTCATTCTGTTTCTGTTCTTCTTCAGAAGCCACAGTATAACTCACTAATGCTAAATTATTCATTTATAAGAGATCGTGTTCTTCTAGTATAGTTATTTACGTGTCAAATCAAAGAACTCTGCCGTTATCTATCAGTGAATATGAGCAATATAAGTGTGGAATTCGATGAAAATTGTCTCGATTACGGTTCCGTTTAGTCCACATCAACAAAAATCGAATCGGTAATTGCTCAGAGCCATGATAAAGAAGAGTGATTCGTCGATGTGTTCGACACGCCCATGCAAAGAGCACCTCGTGAAAACGATCAAAATAGTGTTGCGGCACATCTAACGAGGAAACTCATCAAAACAACAAGTGCATTTAACACACTTTCATATCAATGATTGTTCGATGTAAACGGGAACATTTCTGTGCACGTTTAGATGAAAATGAACGAATTAGATGCTGGTTTTATACACGACGCTTTACTGGTTTTTCAATGGTAGCAGGAATGTCTCTGGATACACATTCGACTGTATGCTAGTAAATGGCTGAGTTTCAAATTAGTGATGGTTTTTTGAATGGTGAAGAAAGATGGCTGATGAGATGAGAAAGCAGCAAAATGATTGGAAATAGCATCGACGGTTTGGTTTATTGCAATGAAGTTAAACGATTGATGTCGTTTGAAATGATCGTTTCCGTCGGAAACGATTGCTTGTGAGATAGTTCGCTTGTACAGATGTGAAGTTAGGAAATAGAAACGAACTGGTATCAATGTGGATATTGAAGGATTGGAAGAGATGAAGTTGGCATCGCTCGATCGACATCTTCGAAACAGAGATAGAAGAAGATAGGTAAGTGGAACGAAGACACGATACTTATGAGAGCGAATGCGTATATGAGTTGATAAGATGCTCATTCTGACGGCACGGCACATCCAATATATTTCAGAAATAGATTGAATATTAGATGAACAACTATTTTTACATATATTTTTCGAACGGAGACTTCTTTCGCCAATGTGTCCTTTGATTTCGTCTGACAACAAGCACGGAAGTAAGCTCAACATGAGATTTACAAACTTCAAAGTAAACAATCTGAGAGATTATTGTTAGCCGTAATTATGGACGCGAATGCTACTACAAGTTCATGATCGAAGACGTCATTGTTACATTCTCCAATTTGCATATCTTTTTCAATACGTGAAATTTCAACGCGATTGAAACGCCGTAGCAGATAAGTGAAGTTCCTCTAGTCAATGAAATGAAATTAGAAGAAAGCACATGAAAAAGACGAGTATAAAGTAAGCAAAAAACTTTTGCATTCAAAATTGCTCATCTATCTCTGAAAGACGATGAGAATTTCTTTTTTCTTGGATGAGACTTTCTTTTTTCATGATGAACGAGTTTCGAAAATAAAGAAAAAGAAATTGAATTCGAAAGCAGTGTCAAAAAACTTTCTCCAGCGAAACTCATCAACATGCAATGAATGTCTTGTCAACAGCATTAACATTTTCAATTCTGAGGTTCAATAATATCTACTTTTTCTAACTGCATTCGCATTTGTGTTCATATGAACATAGAGCACGGAAGTACAATTGCAAACACATAAACAAATTGCTCGACTACCGTATACGGTGCTTGTTCAAACGAGTAGAAGTAAACATTCAGGAATGATTTTTGATTAGTTTCTACGGCTCTCATTCAATACTTTTCTACTTCAACGAGCGTCTCTCTCATCACACTCTATTCTGCCACTCTCAACTCCGAACACAATTATTGTTTGCGTTCTCTCCAAAAAAGTCATCACTTTTTTCGTTGAGCAATGAATCGTTGCAGTTTTCTATGTCTTCCTCTTGGAAAGTGATTCGTCTGTTTGCCATTTCTTGGACATCTTTTGGTGTTTGCAACGTTTCGATGAGACCATATTGATGCCTTTCATACTGGTTGGATTTGTAATTGGATTGCTATAATCTGGTGGTGATGCGATGCATACTCCCCTTTAGTCGAATGACAGCCCACCATTCCCCTCTGCAAAAATCTTCGTGACCGCAATTCCTCCCTCTCCCCTTGCAACCTATGCAACAAATGAGGACAAAGTCAAGAAATTAATTAATTCATTCAAAGTTTGCTGCCAATAATTCGTCAGTCGCATCGAACGAATCAATTTCTTGTGATAGAACAAGCATTTAGGAAGAATTGTTGAGAGCTTATGGAAGAATTACGAGACAAAAATCAATCAACCATGATTTGACGAACTCCTCAAATTCCCTTTTGGTAACCTCAAATTCCCCTGCCCGGAGAATTTCTTCTCTCTTCTCTCTCACCCGCCCCCCTCCTGCCCTTCCTCTATGGCTCAGTTCACTGCCATAATCGGTTTATTGTCAAATCACACTGATAAATCAGAAACATTAAGTGATTGACTGATAAAAATATATTTAAAAGTTTATGATGGGTGAACATAGTAGGATAATTGGTAATTAATGCAGTTAGTTGATAGTGAATTGTTATTCAGTCTTATGTGATGGAATCTGTCATTGACACCATTCAAATGATTCGTCAAATTACCGAGAATGAAATGTTACTGATTGCGGAATGTTCAAAAGAAATGTTCATATCAATAATGTGAGTTGGTATGCCGAAGAATGAATACATAGAGATATAGTTCGATGGTCGTCGAATTGATGCTTATCGAATTGCGGATTGATTCTTATGCTTTAATGAACTGAATAAATGACTTTAGGTGAATGTACCAGATGATAATGGTTATTGAATATGAGTCATGCCACAAATTAAAGAGCAACAGTTCACAGTGAAAGATGTGTTAATGGAATGCTTTACACAATGAATTCTGAAATGAATAACAATAACATCTATCATCATTCCAGATGTTGTCTGTCTGATTGAAAAATTAATTAAGGCACGAAGAAGTGAATTAGACGAAATATTAGTCGGTTTCAATTGTACCAGTCTCTGAATAATACCTCCTACTATTGTCGCCAGCAAA